TTGTTGGCTGTAATCTAGGAGTTGCTGTATGCTCTTGTGTTTTCTAAATACCATTTACAAATGAAAGCAGGCTTCCCTGGAGAAGCGGTCGATTTCAGAACCAGATCACAAAAAATGTGAAGTGGACAGCTTAGGAAAGAGAGGTCACAGAATGAAACAGAGGTGTGTCAAAAGGGCTCAGGGATGAAAGAGAAGGTTCTTCCAGGTACAAATCTAGGATCATATGAAAACCAGTTCTTAAACAAAAGAAAAAATTACCAGAAAGATAGAAACATTTTTTTTTTAAATAAAAGAGTATCAGTTAATAAATGAGGAAGGAAGACATATCTGGAAAAAAATCATTATTTTACAGTGTTAAGTGGAGTAACTGATGGCAAGGATGTTTGGTGATGTCCATTGTGAGAAATGGTTTGGAAATAAGACAGACACAGGACAACACACTTTCACATTCAGACTACATAGGACTATAAAAACAAGGTACAGAGAGGTGGGGCCGTGGCTAGCAACCACCCTAAGCAAATGATGGACCTTAGAACTAGCTGAGTGATGTAAAAGCTCAACACTCTGTGCCTTCCAAGGTGATGAAGTGTGAAGTTTACAGTAGGAGTTATTTCTGCCAATTAGACTTCAACAGTGTAGATGCTGAAAGAACAGGTTAGCAATTCTTATGGGGAATTATCAGACAAATGAATAATGTGGGATGTCTTCTAAGACTCAGCCTGGACCCTTGAGAAAACTCAATAGGAAAGAATAAATCTTAAAATGTATTACATCCGCTGTGAGACTGCCTCTTCTAGAAATGACCGCATAAGCAAGACAAGAACAATGGCAATATCGATAGACATGCTAATGTGGAGAGTGGAGAAAGCCTGCGAGAGAGAGAGAGAGAGAGAGAGAGAGAGAGAGAGAGAGAGAGTGAGTTAGCCTTTCCCTGACATGAGCCTGCTCCTTGGTTACCCAATACAAAGTGGTCAGATTTGAAAACATGTACACACAAAAACAAAAATTGACATAGCAGGTTGTATTTATATACTAGTGCATGTAAAAATGATATAAAAGACAAAGATGCTATCAATTTGAGTGAGGTGACATGGGAGGGGCTTGAGGGAAGGAAGGGAAACGGGGAAAGTGATATAATTGTATTTTAATTAAAAATGTTTCAAAATAAAATACAAAGAAAAGGTGGCCAGATGCAGTAAGAACCACTGGAGTAGATCTTAGCTTGGGCGAGAATAGTATAAAAAGAGAAGGATGCTGGAATGGCAGAAATTTGAATAACCAATGTTTGTAACTTGTTAATTCTTTTTAACACCAAGTTTGAAAACAAGATGAAAACTGGGTTTTTGATGTGTGCTGGTGTTATTGATATGTAGGAAAACATTCTAAAGTCTAAGAGATGCATAATGAATAATTTAGCACTGAAGAAAAATGTCTGCACCCTCCTTTGAAACAGCACAGACATATTATATATATATATCTATATTATATATATACATATACATATATATATAATAAAGGGCATGTGTGCAAAAGCATACACGACACTGCTGTGATTGTGGTAGAGGTCAGAGTGTACAGTGCATTAGTGTTAGATTTCTTCAATAAACTGGCAACCATGAATAGAACTGAAGCAGGGAGGCCAGTGGGCTCAGCTGTGTTTGGGACCTCCATAATGATGTCACAGTCCACCTCATCTGTCCCTCAACTCTGTTCCTGTTTGTGCACACAGCAGAGCACCTGGGAGTGTAGAGTGGAGAGCATAGCGCTTTCAGCCAAAGTTTGAAGCACCATGAAAATCTCCCGGGAATATTACTAAAAAAGCGTAGAGCAGAGCCTTTTAGCTTTTCCAGTGTCTATGATATGGCAGGCATTCAAAAATGGCTGCTAAAAACAGGTATCAAAGAGGATAATCATGCTAGCGGCTTGCCCAGAAAAGCAACAGCACACGAGTGAGTTTGTTCAGACCCAGCAAACACTTGTTGAGCTTAATAGGACTGAACTTGTGAAGGTTAAGTAAGGTTAATACTGGCTCCAGCAAACGCAAAGCCTGTTTTACAGGCTTCATGACTGTTTTTCAACTGTTTTGACCTCGAGTGATGGGTCTTGCTTTTCTGACTTCATGATCAAAGCCCTTTGGTGGAAACCTGCTGCAGTTTTTCCTACACATGGGGAAAATGTGGGTTTCATGAGACATCTTCAGGGGGTGGTGTTTGCAACCCTGCTTTGTTCCTTGCTGAGCTATGAGTCTCTCCTCACTTAATTATGTAAAAAAAAAAAAATACTGCAAGAGAGCAATTGCATAATCCCCCAGAGAGTAATTATTGCTAGTCTTGGCGGAATGCAAGGCTTTTAATCTGTAAATAAGTGATTCTGTGTGGAGGAGCGACATGCAGATTGGTGCTGTGTTGTAAAGGTCTCATGAATCTTTAAAGTGACAGTAGTTGTTGCATGCACTGATTGGCTGCTGTTTGCATTTCGAAGGGCTTATGATGCTTCCCTTATGGTTTTTAACCCTTTCTGAAATATTTAAGCCTCCAAGAATGATTCCTGTAAAGGGTAAAACTCATCTAAGTTAAACAAGATGACCTTTCTCCAAATTTATAAATACATGAGACCAAAACAAGAGGCAATATTGACAGTCAGTGCTTTGGAAACAAATAAAAACAAAGAAGCAATAATTCCCTAATATGTTACTCACTCATTGGAGAATAAGTTTTTGTTGTTGTTTCATTTGGTTGTTGTCTGGTTTTGAGATGGTCTCATGTAGCCCAGACTAACCCTGAGCTCACTGTACAGCTGAGAATGACCCTGAATTCCTAATACCCCTTCTATTTCCCATGTGACTTGGGATTACAGGCCAAACCGACCATCAGGAAATATGTTTATGAAATTATTTTGGTGTATTTGACATATAGTAAACTATATTTATTTAAAGTTTTATGTACATAAGTACATAAAAATTTAAAATGCTTGTGATGGCAGCTCATATTTCCAAAAGATTTAATTTACCAAACTATGTGAGATTGGTCACTTCTGCCTGTAATATCAATGATCACTTGTGAAACTGAGGCAGAGGGATTACTTTGAGATCACGGCCAGTCTGGGCTACATTTCTAGTTCCAAGTTAGCCTGGGTGACAGTGTAAGAAATTTTCAAAAACCAACAAAGAAACCAAGAATTAATTTGCTTCTGAGATATGTGTGTAGGTATATGTGTCTTTTAGATATTAAGAGTGAACCCCAACATTTGGGTTTTGACTTGTCAATTGCATCTTCCCGCCTACCTCCTGTTCCAGTTGCCTGGGTGAGCTGGGCATGCTCCCGTCCAAGGTCAGCCTCCTCTCCATTTCACATAGGATCCCCTCCCCTTTGCTCAAGGGCTTCAGTGTATAACAATGCCTCTTTCTGGATAACTTTCTGCTCTCTGTCAAGTGTTTGTTTCTCTTTACAGTTTCAACAGCCTCTTTTGCTGGCTTCGCTTTCTCTCTTTCTAGTGTAGCTAGATCTACTCCAGTTTTTTTTTTTTTTAAATTAAAAATAAAATGTTTTTTGCCTTCATCCCTGGCCCCAGAGAACCTACTATTGTCAAGGAGTCTATAACACTCACTGCTGGGTTCCCTAGGCTGTGCTGATCTCCATCTTACTGATCACCTGGACATCTGACATAGTTTGTCCCCTCATCTGCTTTACTTGGTTCTCCTGAATACCCTCCTTTCTCAGTGGCCACGCTTTTTCAGACTCCTTTGTGATTTCCTTTTCCTGATCTCCTAAGACTTCCTGGTCCAAGCCACAGCCAATGTCACAGTTAATTCTCCTTATACCCGAAAGAAGTCGTTCTCAATCTGTGGGTTGTGACCACCAGAAAACACAGATATTTACATTATGATTCATAACAGTAACAAAATTACAATTTATGAAGTAGCAACGAAAACAGTTTTGTGGTTGGGGTCACCACAACATGAGGAACTGCACTAAAGGGTTAGGAAGCATCAAGAAGTCTGAGAACCACTGCTCCAAAGACTCCAAGACTTAGGTCTGAATTCCATGCCTCGCTGTAGACTTACACAGCCGATCACTGCCGGACAATCGTTGCCGCCTCATATGTAACACAGTGGGAGTGTAATTCCTTGTTTGTGCGTGGTCAGCTGTCCCCTGGACTTACCGCAGTAGCTTCCTGTTTCCCCACCTTGTGCTTATCCCAAAGTCCTTCAAGCTGCATGCAACACAGCAGCTCCTGAAGACCCCTAGACGACATTAAACTTCGTCTCACCTTGGCCCCAAGCACCTGGCATTTTCCATATCAGAATAAAGGCTATCCAATAGGCCCTTCCTTGTCTGACCCCTTCCTTGCCAGATTACCTTTGCTTTTCTCCCCAGCACACTCCCCGTTCTAGTGTCTCTTCCAGACACTGCTACCTCAGACTGCCCATGTCTCTGTCTCCCATCAGTGGGATTGTTTCTGTCCATTCTAGTTAAGCTCTACTTGCCCTTGTCTCCTTGCTCTACAGATCCCTTCTTCAGGCACCACATAAAAACATAAACTATTCAATTTAGGGGTTTGTCTCCATGTTTGTGCTTGGCTATCATCTCATATTACTATGTAAGTTTCAAGAGGCTACAAGCTGTGCCTGTCTGGTCACAGCCAGTTCACTGTGCTGCCGACTGATCAAAAGCAATAACGTGGCTTACGATGCGAGGTATTACCTGTTGTCTCTGCTGTGCAGGATCTAGATTTTAAAAGCACATGAAAACAGAAGAGGACGGGAACTAGAAGGTGGTGGTGGGGGCCAAGAGAGCACAATGGGGGTGATGAATGTGATCAATGTACACTATACATATACACATATATATATATATGTAGGGGATTATTTTCTATGACTTATATACACATGGAAAATAGAATAAGAGATGCTTGATACTCTTACTGTAGTGTGTATAGGACAGAAGAGATGGGCCATACTCAGAAAAACTCACTGCATACTATTGTTTTCTGTTCCTCAGTTTCTCTGTCTGAAGAATATCCGGACATTTCTGGCTGCCTGCTGTGAGATGTTTGGAATGAGGAAAAGTGAACTTTTTGAAGCATTTGACCTATTTGATGTTCGTGACTTCGGAAAGGTACCAATACAGTTGCTTTTTAATTAATTGTTTTGATCCTGAGCTGCAAGAGTTGGGGGAGCAGGGAAAATCTAAGTTCATACATCTTTCAAAAAGTTTTTACTTTGTATGAGTGTGTTGCCTGCATTTATGTCTGTGCACCACAAATATGCCTGGTGCCCTCAGAGCCCCTGGAACTGGAGTTACAGATAGCTTTTAGCTCCTACGTGGGTGCTAGGAATCGCATCTGATCTTCTGCAAGAACAACAAGTGCTCTTAGCCACTGAGCCATCCCTTCAGCCCCCAGTCTTATTCTTTAACTTGGGTGCTAGTATCTTCTCAAATATATGTCTGAGATTGGCATTTTACTTAACTTCTAAGATGTAATATTTGATTATATAAGAAAACCTAAGCATTGGATAGGTTTTCTTAGAAAAAACTTTTCACAGAAATATTAGAAATTTGATGTTGACATAGAGCAAAGATGGGTAGCTCTTTCATGTGGGGAGGTTGAAGGCTTCAACCTGGAGTCATTCTGGGATCTTCGAACAGTTCCCAGCCTTGTGGGTCTCAGAATTCTTGCCAATGTGAAGGAAAATGGATGGGGTAATAACATGGATTGCTTTTTATCTCAGGCAAGCTGTCACAAGTAAACTGATGGAGGATTAAAGAAGGTAGCACAAGGGACAGAAAACCAGGCCATGAGTAAGCAAAGGACAGCCTGTTTGTGACTGTGCTGTGCCACCATCGAAAATAGTGCAGTCCAGATGGGGGACACCATAGTGTGTTGCTGTTCTGGAAGGAGAGAGAAAGAGAGAGAGAGAAAGAGATGTTCCTGTTTTCATACTTCTCTGGTCCTGGCCCCAGCCCATCCATTCTCTTTTGAGGAAGTGGAAACATGAAAATAATTTAAGGAAATGAAAGATGAAAAAAAACCCTGACATTTTACAACTTATTAAGGAGCCACCGCTTCCCTCATTTAAGCTCACAAGACATGGTGATAAAGATTGGAAACCTATAGAAATACTTTAAAAAAAAAATGCATGGGTTTGTTTTAGTGCAGTTACATGGCCTGTTCGATTGCTGAGGCAATAGAAGCTTTGAAAGAAAATCAAGATTCTAAAAGCTTGAATGTAAAGGAATGAACTCTTTAGTTCTTGTGGACAAATACATTCTAGCTCTCGTTACTTAGATGTTTTGACAGTGCTAAGACTGAAAAATGAATCAAGCCTGGGTTGGTGGTTTCACTTGGACTCTTCTTTTCCTACAGTCATCAGGTTTTGCTGGTGCCTGTGTTGGTCATCTGTCTTCAGGCTGTGTCTAACATAAACTGGCAGAGAAATGTAGCTGGGTTACTATATTAAACAGTTACTGAATACAATGCTGTTTTCTTTCTTCTAATTTTCATGTATATATTAACTTTTAATCCTCATAACAGACGAATGAGTGGGGCACTAGTATTTTCCTCATTATGCCAATGAGGAAATGTGCACCCCCAAATAGCATATCTAGTATGGGATAGATCAAGGGTTTAAACTCATATCTGGCTGATTCTCTGCCACTATGTCACAATAGAAACACGGTTACATGGCTGTAACAGGACACATGCTCCTTGGTGCTTTGCATATATGTGGATGTAGTTCATGTCCCAATCCTGCTGTGTGGCGAATATTCTTCTTGATCACAGATCCTACTTTGGGAGTGATAAGCCTGAGTTAATTTGTCCAATTCTAAATTTTTTTAGTATAAAGATACTGAAGATAGTGTTAAATCGGAGCTAACGTAATTTCTAATGTTGGGGATATGAATGTGAACAGGATTTGGACAAGGCTGGGGATATAGCCGAGTGGTGGAGCGCTTGGTTATCGTGTGTAAGGCCCTGCTGTACTGCATTGCCGTTCCAGTGTAAACAGCCATTACCTTCATGAGAGCAGCTGTGACTCTTTGAAAGCTTGTTGACTGTTGATGTTAATTCACAGAAGGAGGCAGTGGAGGAGGATATTAGACACACGCCTGATGTGTAGGACCTTTGTGCCTGCACCGCTCAGGCACTTGTATGTAATTCTGCTCTAATTACATGGGCCTGTGCAGCCATGGGGAAGTTGTCGTATGTGCTGGTAAGACTTTCCATATTACTGCTGCTTTGAGGTCGTTCCTGCTGTTGTAAGTGGCTCCTCACCTGTTCTCTATTGTTAGGTGCAATAAGCTCATTGTTCCCCCAAGTTGAACTTTGATGAAATTATATTTGGTTTGTCCTTGGAGGGATAGGGGTGAGCATGTATTTAAGGTTCCCCAGGGAAAGAGTTCCCATGATGTTTGGCCTGGTCAGAGGCTCACAATGGAACTGAAGCTAAAATTGGGAAGAGTATCCCCCACCCCGAACCCCATGACCAAGGAGGCAGGCAGCTGAAGCTGAGCTGATGGTGGAATGTCTTGACATGGCTTTCTTTCTCTATGAGGTCCGGAGTAATCTGCCTCCTTATTGTCATAGCAATTGCAGCGTCCCTGCTCTGGGTTTCCAGAGGAGGAATCCTGGAGTGCTTACCCTGTCGTCTGCGGTGTGGAGCGGCAGTCCTGCTTGACGAGGGGGAGCGAGGTATGGGCTGCAGTCCCTGAAAGCTCCATGTTATGGGATGGGGGTCTCAAGCAGGCTGGGGCACCTGTGACACGGCTCTTCTTGTGAGAGCTGAGACCTGCAGCTGGAGCTGAGCTGTCAGCCCCGAGAGAACTGGACATCCTAAGAGAGAAATGAGGAGAAGAAAACGACAGGCTGATGTCATCCACCGCGGCAGCCTCTGATTTGTCGAGTAAACTGGATGAAAGAGAAAATGAGATAGAAGCGTTGTTGCCTTGCTGTTTCTTGTGGATGGGGCTCCAAAGAGAAAGAGCACAAATTAAACCTGTGTTCAAGAGCCCTAGCTGTTATCCAAAAATGTGGAACCCCTAGGAAGAATCGGATGATGAGAAAAATAGGGGATGGAGAAGTGATAGAAAACCCCACATCCCCATGAGGAAGGGAAATAAAATCTATGGTTCTGCATCTAGGTGGGGACCTTAACGACGGCTCAGTTCAGGAGACTGTGTTGATCAGGGACAGTCTGTGTCTGAACTGCTTGAACTGCTATAGTAGATGGAATGTGGGAGGTCAAACAGGAATGACACCTAAGCAGCGACGGGGAGTCTTCGTTTATTCCGGGTGAGACTCTTGCTGGCGCAGCTGCCGTGGGTCACTCATGCCAACATACATGTTGAAGTGCTTCAGATTCTACTGATAGTAAGTTTAGAACTCACACTTATTTGGTGGCTTTGCTGTCTAGAAATATAATCATAATGACAACGTCCTGTATTTTTACTGTACTTTGATGTTTTCAGAGTGCTTGTTACCACTGATTCCTGTGATTCTCTGAAGCATTGTGAAGGTAGCCTGTTTCTTGAATGGGTAAAGCAAGGCAAAGAGGGTTAGACAGTGAGATTAAGGCCACCTGCCTTGGGGGTGGGAACAGGATATGGGCTGAGGCATCCTGGCCTTTCTCCTCTTAACTCTTCTTTGCTTTTCTTGTTTTGGGTCTCACTTTCTGGTCAGGGAAGAGGTTGATCATGTAGGAGAAACCAACATTTTTTTTTTTTTTAATTATAAAGCATAAGAGACTCGTTAACTTTGGGTCCAGCTTTGGATTGGTTCAGCTGTGAGGAAGGAAAGCTTCAGGCATAATGGCAGCTGACGTGAGTAAATTTAGCTAGACAAGGGTTTTGTAGGTTCTGACTGATGCAGATACTTTGTAGCTGCCCCCTCTGCCCTTTCCTTCTCATGACACCATTCTGTTCTCTAGTCTTTGCCTAACCTCTTGTTTAGTGTTGGTTTCAGGAACATATTTTAAATCAGAGGCTTCACATGGGTGTGTTTGCTGTTGGAAATTAAGGTTATCCTGGGAAAATGTCAGTTAACCCTGATGAATGATAATTTTCTTTCATGAAACGGTGAGGAACACACTCTTGAGGGCAGTGGGATGGCTTGTAATTATTTTGCCTTTCAGCAGTTCTCTGGTTCCTAGGACTGAGTTCTCTATTCAATGCCAGTTCACTTCAATTTGCTCTGAACTAACACCAACACTAATTCTAATTAAATCTAATTACAGTTTGTTTTATCTGTTAAAAGAGAGGCTGGGACGCTGTGTTAAGTGCCAGGATACAGTGGTGTCTGTTTCCAGGTCCTAGCAGACACGCATCTCACACGTGGACCAGGGCAGAGCTTGGTAACTTGACTCTTTGAGGAACAGCAGAGTCCCTGAAATTAGCAGGTGACTCCGAGGGTGTTGACAAAGAGGCAGGCTCCTCCTCTCAGGCCAGCTTGCTCTGTGGAGAAGCTCCTCTGTCCTCTTAGACCTCTTAAGTACCTTCTCTTTGTCTTGAAATTTATATTTTGAAAAAATACATTATTTTCTAACTTTTCAAAATGGTGATTCCCTTCTGGCTTTTTGATAACAATCACGAGTAAAATCTTGTTCGTTTCTTTGCTTAAGACATGAATTAAAAAAAAAAAAAGTATCCCCCATGCCTGGAATTATCCTGGAAACCCCATGTTCCTTTCTGTTCAGACTTTTTGGCAGGGTCTGGACATTTGCTCAATTTAAGTCCTGCCAAAAGCATTTGCAATCACTCTTCCCCGATTGCCATTTTGATGGACTCAAGCTGTTTGGAAGTGTCTGTTCGAATGCTGTCAGCTGGTATATCTGTGGCTCATGAGAATGTGGGGTTTTCTTTAATTTAATGAGGCCATTTTGAGCAGGTTGTAGGACTTGAGCTGAGGCTTCTATCCTATCCAGAAAAATGATTAAAGTCAGCTCTGCGCCTGCTTCCCTTGACCCAGACTCTGCATCCTTTGTTCCTGGAAAGATAGAGCACCTTGAACTATGGGGTCATTGATACATTTTCTTGAATCAAAGAGAATCACACCTGCCCAAAGGTCGTTACAGAAGCTTGTTCCAAATGTTCAGGACAGACACATAAAGAGGAATCCAGAC